AATGACTCAACAAAATGCTAGCCTGCCATCCTCCCTGCCTCTGTCTGTTCTTCTCCCGCAGGGCTCTGACACACATTGCTGCTCATCGTGTATCCCTTGCACTACCACTTTTTTTTGTACTGATGACTCCAGTGCAACAGCAGCAGCACTTGACAGTTTTCCCATATAAAACTAAAGCATCAGATCCATGATTAAATTAGACTTATGGAAGTAAATCATCAACTGTTCAGACAAAAGAGCTGTGTATGGCTGAAGAACATTTCTATTGTTTATTTTCATTTGTAACATCTTTGTCTAAATAGGGATCGTAGCACTAATGGAAAGATAAAAAGCAACTAATGCATCACAATGATTATTTATTCATGGAAAATTACCGGCCAAATTATGCGTACTGTTTAAATTGTTTATGCATTGTCTAGCCAAATCCACATTTCTTTACCAACTTGAAAAATTATTTTTATCTAACGAGCTCTCTGACAAAGAAATGTTTCAAGCTGAATTAGAATCATCACTCAACAAAGTGGTTTAATTATGCTGCAGGGGAACTTTGTATCCCCCAATCTGCTGCTGGGTCACTCAAATACATCTGTTTATTGGACTCTGCATCGTGGTCATCGTTACACATGGGCAGCTGTATATTAGAAACTCTGTAAAGGAAATTTGGGCAGGATGGTGTGTGGTTCTTATTCCTTTGTAAAAAAAAAAAAAAAAAAAAAAGAAAAGAAAAGAAAAGGAGAATTAACAGGAGCATATAAAGAAGTAAACTAATTTATTCTGACTGCTTTGCTTCATTCTGTCCTCTTACAACTCATGTTACTTATCTTTGTCAGATAAGTAACTTAATTAATTACCCAACAAAAAACTTATTGTCAAGCACAAAAACAAAGGTCTCATTGAAATGATAAATATTCAACAGCAAACCTGCCTCTGTGCATGTCACCTTTAGTAGGTATGAATGAAGAAATGACCCAACACACCTACATCCTTTTGCAATCCATACAATGTTGTCTAATGTTGCGTTAACATCTATGCACACACTTGTGTTATTATTAGGAAAAGCCAGTGACTCATGAAAACACCTAAGTACTCACGTCAGAGACATGCGATCAGCTTCCAATCCTGTGAATATATCTCAATTATAGACACAATATTGTACTTTGATTAGTGCTCACAACCAAGCGATCAAAAGGTGTTTTCACAGGAAAACCCTTTTTCTTTGACCAAAATCCCTAACACAGCTACTGTCAATGATTCTTTCTCTGTAATTTTTAATCTGTGGAGGCCTAAATGCACAAAAGTTTCATGAATCATACAAAAATTGTTATGAATTTGATTTTTTTTTTTTCACAGGAGGTTGGTGAACAGCGGCCTTTTTACTTGTAAGCAACTATGCATACAGCTTTTTCGGCCAACTGACAAAAGGAGGGCCTGTTTCATACTAACTTATAATTACTCCTTGGTTACAAAGAGCCGTCTTAAATCTACCTTGTGTTTGGGCAAATGAAAAGACATTTGATCATTTGTTTGGATCCGAAATCCGACCAAAAATCAGAAAGTAATTCACAATAATTTGAAACACAAAAAGAGAGATTGTACTGCACCTCCTACCCTCAGCATTTATGTTTTTTGCCCAAAAACAAATCAATTATGTATTCAGACATAACAGAAAATAATCCACGGCCCTTGATAGTATCAGACAGACACAAGTCATGAAAAATAAATCTTACAGGATGGAAAAGAAAAAGCTTGCTGATGTGCATAGATGACATGCCATGGATACAACTGTTGCAAGGTACTGTATGATTTTTATTAATCCATTAACATGAAATTGTCCATAAAATAGATCCTAAAAACACCTGCACATGAAAATGCAATGTCATAGTTTGGTGGAAGCATTTCGGTTGTACTGCAGTCTACCATTAACTGCCTAAATAAACATGATGGAAAAATAAGACAGAAACAGAAATACATGTTAAAAGGACAACTTCAACAGCAATAAGATATGGCTAAAATAAACTCCAAGTCTGGTATACACTAGCACCAAACATTGGTTAATCCACATGTGACTCGTCTGGATAGAGATCCTCATGCTACGCCTGCTGTGTGTTTAGACATGCTCGTATGTCTCAAACTGACCAACAGTTGTGTTCAAAGATCAGTTTATGGCTGTATGATGGCAAAGTCAATGTGGTCATATATTTATAATCTACTACTTGTGAATCCCTCCAATTTATCAACATTTATACAAAAAGCTAAAAATAATTAAGTTATCCCTTCAAGCAAAAATAGTCTAACAGACTGTTAAAGTCCACCATATGGCCCTCTGCTCTGCAACATTCCAGTTAAGGATTTATCCAAGTTTCAGCCAGGAAAGCTCTGCGAGACGGTTTAATTCCTCCAGCTAGTAACTGAGATTAACAAGACTCTGCTTCCAAAGCTCAGCAAGTGTCTACAACGGGCCTTGCCATTTCTTAGAACCCACAAAATGTCTATTTTAGTCAACAACATTCTGACAGCCTACTCATTACTGACGATTTTTCTATTGTTGAGCCTTATCAGTGTTGAGACTACAGTTTAAGGCACAGGAAATGCCAAAGGGTCATTAGAATTTAAAAGCCATTTCCACTCAAATCACAAATGTGACCATCAAACTCTTTAACAATCTTGACATATTATGGGTGTAAACAAGATGAATTATACAAAGTTAAAAGTGCATTGGCTTTTGGGGGCATGTGAAAATGTCAGCAACAAATTTTGATTTTTTCCCCCCACATTTAGATGTTGATTTTTTCCTATGCTTAGAAGAAATGGTGCAATTTCTCTCAAATAAATTGAATACTACCTATGCAGAATAAAACAAACAGCTCTGGATTAAATACTGTTGTCCATGGTAAAGGTTATCAAAACCATCACTGTACATAGTAAAAATCATAAAAGTGATATTCAATACTGCTGTTTGTATTGCAATTGTGCTGTGTATAGTTGCAAATATTAACAAATATAATTCAAACATTTTCTTCAGTTATGTGGTTGAGTGTTAGAAAGCGTGAAATATCTCTAATAACAATAAACATTATTTAAAAGACACAAAGGTAACATTCACTAAAGATCACACAGCATTAGATACCAACTTTCAAACATAGGGCTCATATAGAAAGACAAAATAGATGTTATGATTTGTTCAGCTATCATTGCAAGGTTATTTTTTCATTATTAGAATTATGCCTTTTTCCTTCAGGAAAAGGCTGCAGGTCAGCCCATGAGCGCAAGCTTTTTGGTCCTGACCTCACTGACTCAGAATCACAATTAAGTAACCACCCCACATTCTCTACCCTATGTGTCAGTAAGGAACAGTCATGCTAGCCATGGCACTGAGCTTTAAAAAGCAGAGCTAACAAGGATTAACATCCAATTTTAACACCTAACTGTAATCCTGCCTTCACAGTCCATGCTAAGCCTGTAGCAGCCATGCTAATGGAGGGGGAGTGGTTTGAAAACGGCCTGTTTTTGTTTTTGTCACCCCCATCCCCCCCAACTGTTACCCAACAACCTTAACAGCATCTTAACAAATGCAGTCACTGACAGACTTGCAGGAAAAGAGAGGCTGTACATCAGCACATTATGTTTACATTAGAGCCAAAGATGGAGAGGTCTTTGAAATGATAAAGTGGTGAAATAAGTCCCTGAGCTATCCAAGCAGTCCTGCTTCTGTAATTTTGGGCCTTTGTCAAACACTGAGCAGTAAATGATAAAACACATTCAAAATGGTTTTAGAAAAAGTAACCTGCTCTGGACAAACTCTTAAAATTATGATGTCTTACAGTACAGTCATCAAAACTCACTAAGGACTACAAAGTCCTTATACTCTCCAGTATCTCATACTGGAGCGAAACAATCTGTGATGCTGTCATTACAACTTGCTGAACTGTTTTGTTAGCTGCCTAAATTTACACTAATATCAAATATCAATGATGAGGCAGAACATAACATGCATTCAAGTGACTTCCCATTCAGACCTAAAAAATAAAGAAACATAATTCAAGGGAACAGGAAAAGATTAAATGACACCGAGATCTGGACAAAAACAAGAGTGTACAAAAACAAGTACAAACTATAGGAATTTTACTAAAATTCCACACATGGAAATAGATGTCAAGCTAAGACATATGCACAAATCTTACATAATTCAAGGTTGAAGTTTAGATGGTTAAAGTAAGTGGTGGTTTATATATATAAATATTTATATATATTGACATACATATATGTGTGTGTGTATGCATAAAGAATGTCTTATATGCTGGAAAATGACAGATACATTGAGCAGATGGATAGGAGCTTCTAGTGCCAGATGCAGAGCCAGAGGGATTCATCCTAATATCACTGACCTAGCTCTGATGATGTCATCAGTTAAAGGGACATGATACTAGAATAGTCATTAAATATAATATAAACCTAAATTATAAGAGACATGGAGATTTGGAGAAAATTAACACAAAGTGGACCTAGAATTCTCGTCAAAAAACTGACTCGAACATCAGTGAAGGGTGAGCACATACCAGAGTCATACAGCATGGCCACGGTGAACATGCATTTCAGCGCACATCATACAAAGAGAATTTATGCGAGTGAGCCAGCTGGGCACATAAGCCGTCCTGCACAATAATTCCAAATAATCCTTTACAATGGGAAGCGGGAAAAGGAGCTGGGAGATACTCAGACATACGCACACACACACGCACAAAGGTACACGCTTCAATTAGCCCCGCTGTTGTGTGTCTGTGGTAGATATTCAGTGGCTTTGCCCTTTCCTATGAATAACATGCAAGTCAGTGAAATACATGAACCCAAAATAGCACAGGGGCTTATGACATTTAAAAATCCTAAACACCGACACTGACAGTTGCCAATAGTGGAGGCCCTGTAGGACAAGGACATGATTACCCTAAGTTATAATAGGGAAAAAGGGGACAGCATAATATAAATAATAAAATAAATCTTACCTTCCATCATGGTTGCAGATTTGCATTCCTCAACCTCCAAAGACCCTGAAATAAAAGCAGCAGTTTTTTTTTTTTTTAATCGGGGGACAGAGAAGAAGTCCCCAGTTACAGATTTACAGTAGAATAGATGGGCAATGGGCAGCTGTGCGCTTGCGGCTAACGCCCTGGCTAACTGTGAGCCTCCAACAACCCCAGACGTCGCCTGTCAACTAGCCCAGAAGGAAGAGAGGGAGAAAACAAGAGGACAGAGGAGGGGTTGGGGCCAGGCTAGCTGTCGATCAGAGCTCAGGCTTAAGCCATGGATGCTGCTACTGCTGCTGCTACTGCTGCGGCTCTCTAACCTACACACAGCCGAGGATGCTGAGAGGTGGGGAAAAAGCCAACTGAAGGGAAAAAAAGAGGCAGGGTGGGGAGAGGGCTGGGAGGGAGGCAGTGAGACTGAGAGGGAGGGAGGATTTTGTGTGTGTGTTTATGTATGCGTGTGTGTGTGTGTGTGTGCAGGGGGGTGGTAGTGTTGAGAAGAGTGGAGGCAGTATGCTGAGGTCACAGATGACCTAAGCCAATCCCTGCAGCTCTTTGTGGAGTCACATGTCTTACAGCTTGAATCTCCTGACACTATGTCTAAAAGGACACTACATTAGTAACCTTTTTTGTTCTACTAACTAAATGTTATAACACACTATTACACACACATGCAGAAAGAAGCAGTGAAACAGCTAGTGGACACAAAGAGAATAACCAAACACCCTCCCTTAAGCCTACCTTATGTCAATGCAGTGCCGACTCTGCCAAGTAGGGAATGACATTAATCATTTGGTCACACATAAAGTCACGTGGAAACGTGAGAAAAATGATGTCCCATGTGGTAAACACATGCACGAAAACACTGAAAAAATATCTGGTCTGCAGTGTCCTGTACAGTGGCTATTTCTGTAGTAGCTGTCTGCGTGTGCCCGTCTCAGTGTCCCGCCCTCTATGGAATATCTGTGTGGTTTCACACTGCCCTCTCTTTCTCTCCTTTCCCCCATTCCCTCCCACCTCACCCTCTCGTTGACAGTCTGTTTCACTCAGCAGCCTTTTTTCTGTCTCCGTGCTTACCCACTGCACTGGGAATAGGATCGATCAGCGTGACGTCATGGCAACGCAGGCTACAGCTGCAACCAACAAGCAGGAGGGGCTGACAACAGACCAGCCTCCGGAAAGAGGTGTGTGCTTGTGGTTGTGTGTGTGCAGAATAATGTTCTGTCTGGTCGTACAAAGCAGCAGGAGACCAACTTTATGTGAGAATACTAAAAAGCATGGGGTATTTACAATAAAGTACAAAGAATGTAAGTATCTTTTCCCTTAATATTTTTATATTAGCACTGCTGGTGCTGATATTAAACAGATCATTATCTGTATCAAGTCTAGTCGAAAATGCATGAATCCTAAATCATTATTACTAAAATCAATACGTATATTTTCTATAAATTCTGTGCTTATGAATAAAGAATGACAAAAATGTCATTAACATTTTTCAAAATGTGAAATAAACAGTAAATGCATAAAAGCAAAAAATATAAAGTCCAGAAATGTATTTATTTATTAAAATTCAATATCTAAATGTTGGTGCTATTATATTACTAGATTTATGGTGCAAAATGCGAAGGTCTGATTACTTCCTCTATTGGGCACATTCCATATTTAAACGAACAACACATTTTCTCCACAATAATAAAACTTGTTAAGTTTGACAAACATTTAAATCAAGTCAGCACATTACATGACCTAAGCTTTAGTCCTTATCTAGATGATTGATGATTTTAAAAAGCCTTCCATTCTTTAAACAAGAGACCAAATGAAGTCCATGTTGACATTTAGTCTTAGTGTAGTAAACATTTGATTTGTAGGTATAGCATATTATTTTTAAATGGATATCAGCATGTGATTAGATGTTTAATCTTTACAGAACATCCCAAAAACCATAAAAACAGATTTCCTCTACACAGAAATAAAATCCGAATCTGAATTTTTTCTAACAATCAAACTTTGGACCTAAATCACTCCACGTCATACTGAAACAATGTGAAAATGACTCAATCAATCACAAATATTGTGCCTGCTCTGTCATTAATACTTGACGCATTATTAGTCTACATCTAAACATCTCCCATTTTTCTGTGATGACACCACAACTCTTTCAACTTCTCACTTTTCTTAGCCGATACAAAGTGCATCTTCTCCGTCACTGCCATCTAGTGTCCATCAGAAATAATATGAGATAAACTATTTGCCAGGCAGCAGGACTTTCTGAGAAAATAGCTAATTTTAGCATAACTTAACCAATGACGCGTTCAGGTATCGAGATGAGTTGATATTTAGCTATTTAGGTAAAAGCTGTACATTGTTATCAGCTAGTGGAGGCCTATGGTAGAAGAAGAGAGGCAGGATTACTAAAAAAGGCCTCAATTCCCATAAATAAATAAAAAGCTTTTATGCCATGGTAAACTTCAGTGAACTCATCATTTTACCATTCAGATACCCGACCTATGAAATTACTCTATATGCATTTACTCTCTGACCTCTTTCCATTTGTCTGCTAAACAGAAACAACACATTTCACATTGCATACACTGGCACATTCACCTCAGAAGGTGAATGAGATTAGTAATCCACACTTTCCAGAGCTCAAGCCACAAACTATTTCAGTTGTATTTTAGGGCTCAGTTATCCAAAGCTGAGAAAGGTATGTGCTGCCTTGAAAAAGAAGAGGTGTTTTCTTACTGTACCTGCAACGATACGGAACCAGCCAATACATAGCTCCTCTGCCATTTGCAGCGCTCCCTTTCAACCCTCTGCACCCCAGTCAGATGGAGGAATGAGACAGAAGAAGAAGAAGAAAAGCAGGGCAGAACAATTCACTGAAATGATAAAGAGGAAAGACGAAAGGTAGTCATCAAGGACTGAGAAGTACAGAGAAGAGAAGCACACAGGGCACGGATGTGTGCTGCTGCCTGTAGCAGCGGGAAAAAAAAAAAAAAGCTGCAAGTGCACCAGCAAAGGCACACAAAACCTGCCCGTGGAGAATAATAATGTGGGACAATAGACCAGGAGTCCAGGCTACAGGCACTGAAGGTCAAACTTTGTATGATGCAGTAGAGGGCTGTCAATAGTTTCAGCAATCATGGTCAAAATGTGTGGTATTGATAAAATACCTAAAACATAGTCATCAGATCTGATAGCTTGGCTTTAAAGTTTTAAAAAGACATTCTTAAGCCTCCAAGCCTGTTCACCCTTGGAATGAAAACAATAAACATGGAGACTATGATCTAAAGATAGAAAACAAACCACTTGACTACTAGAAAACAGTCCTGAAAGGCAAGAATTAGGAATTAAGATGTGGGCTTGCTGTTTCATTAAGAATCAAGTGATGACAGTTTAGAGGAATGATATAGGCACAGTAAAGTAAAAAAATTAAGTTTAGACAAAAATAAATCAAAAATATTCTTCCAGAGTTTAAAAAGGGAGTAGGATTAAAGTACTAGTTTTGGTTCTTGTCGAATTTCTTCAACTGGAAAAAGAAACAAAAAGACTGAACAATGGGCAAGGTTATCCTTATTGGCTGAGCACTGATGGTGTAAAATAACAGTATTGAGGTTGAAGTTTCAGTATTTATGCAGATCAAGACCAATAGTTAAGGCCAATTCTAACAGAGATTAATTACAATCAATAATGTAAGAATTATGAAATCACAATGATTTGATTTTCTTAATCAAGGGCTACAAAATAATCTCACTTTATAGTACTATATTAATTTACATCTTGCTGGAAGATGTGCAGAATAAAAAAGTTACATCAATAATGACGCATTGCAAAAGCAGCCTGGCAGTCATTGGTTAACAGGTAGAAATGGGTCATGTTAAAATGTGAAAATATACACGTACAATTGCTGCCATCTGCAGGTGGTGAAAGCATGTCACCTAATAAAACACTCCACTCATCCACTTCCCACACAAGATACCAGGCCAGCCAGGCAGCCATGCTTTATCAAATTATTCCTAACTGTTTTGTAAAAAGACTCTTCCAGAATGGCAGAATATGACATCTTCAATTTTTGAGTAAATACAAAACAAAGACTGAAGATAAATAAAATACTAAATTAATGGGGGAAAAAAAGACTTCATTTTAAGTGGAGTTTGTGGTGCAAACAACATATGCATATTTACATAACATTACAGATGGGCAACAATAATTTTGCATTAAATTAGATTCTTAATATCTGCTGTTACAGCACTGACATTTCATATTGACACATTCATGCTGTGAGCTCCTGGATTCTTATCATAATTGAACACACTCCTGAGAGCACAGCCGTTTTTTTTTTGTATGTAGGCAGACAGCACTAACAAGTCAGAAATAGGACATGGAGAAGAAAGCTGTAATTTGTCAATTTGTAATTTAATTCTTATTTCGTTTTATTTAGCAAGAACCCAGGTTAAGTGACCACAAATTAAATAAACGTAAGAAAAAAAATTTTTAAACACATTTTATCCAAACCCTATTCTTCTTCCTGGCCCTATATCTCCCACGGTCTACTTTGCATTTCTCTGTGTATACCATCCACTGATAGACTCCATCCACATCCATCCCTCTGACCTACTTTATATCCTTTGTTCATGCCATTTGCCTGCAGAGTGCAGTGTTGCTCTTATCAAACTCTTTTGCAGAGACAAAGCTCTGCTTCTATTTGAAGATCTAAAACCCCCTAGACAAGAGTAGATGGGTCATCACCTGAACTGAAACGTTGCATTAAGCACAGCATTGCTGTTTTAACATGGCACAAAAGAAACCATGGGAAAGGGAGAATGAGGATATCGGGGTATGGATATACCATTTTTAGGTCCCTCAATTAACAAACATCCATCAAATGTGTTCCAGTTTCCTCCTTGTTTTCCACAAACTCAGCAGCCTGTATATAAATACACACCCATACATACACGTTTGCGTATTCGTCTCTTTATTCTTAAT